CAGCCTCTTGGAAGGGCCCGCCGCCCGGCTCGGAGGCATCGCCCTTTACACCCAACTCCGTTGGCCAGGGTGGTGGCCCTGGCTCCGGTCCTTACAACAATACAGGTGGTCCACCGAGTAATGCGGCCTTCCAAGGTCCAAGCCCTTTCCCCGGTGGCGCTGGTAGTCCAGCCGGGGCGCCTCCTTATCAAGGACCACCCCCTGGTTCCGCGACCCCTCAGTATACTGCCTCACCAGCGCCTAGCGGCTCCTCGACACCTGGCCCTGGACCACCGCCCAACTCGTCGGGCTTCCCACCGCCACCCAATAATTCCGGGCCCCCGTATAATGGGCCCGGGCCGAGTCCATTCGGCTCGCCATCTGGCGGGCCACCGCAATTCGTCGGTCGACCCGGTTCCTCGGGGCCGCCGTTCGTACCTCCGGGAGCGGGGAATCCTCACTTCCCTTCGCATGGTCAACCGTTTGGTGGACCCCAATACGGTATGCCACCTGGAAGCCCGTTTGGACCTGGTCACCCGATGACAGGGCCTATCGGGCCTGGACATCCAGCGATGATGGGACCCGGTGGACCCGTCGACAGGATGGACCAAGGGTGAGTCTTGTCGATTTTCTCTCTCGTCGGCGCGTTGCTTATCAATCGAGACGTAGATAAAATCAACATAGTTTGATAACAAGTATTTTAAAATAATACGATTTCTTTGATCGATAAGTAACGCGATTTATCATTGAATTTAGCAAGTAACGTGTTTCTTATTGAATATTTGATAATGCATGCTGATCGTTTGTTTGGTAAATGGAACTTGGGTTCCTGGTAGAAGGAAGAACAGTGTTGTATCGAACAGTGATATATGGGGAGGGTATTGAAAGAAATAGTCTTGAATTTAAAATGCAATTGCTTGAACGCGATATCATCGACGGACTTTCGAAGGGTTTAAAGGCTTCTTTCGTTCGTCGAAAAGTCGTCACCCTTAACGTGTAAAACATAAGAGTAACGCGTGTCTGACGCAAGTCGGGCTTGCTAACATTCCTAGATAACGCGGTCCGCAGGTAACCGCTATTATTTATCACTCGTCTCCCGGTTAGTCCGCATTCTTCCTGACAATCCAGCTTCAGCTGGGCTACGTTCTTACGCCCTTAAAAATTTCCTCGATCGTTCGCTAATCGACGATCATTCCTTCCTTTCGAACTCGTTTTCGAAATCGATGTAAGCCTCGGATATTCGATATACATGGCATGTAGGGATTGTCCACGTTACGTATCAGCGGAAAAGTTATAAATAGGGAACAAAAGTAGCAATTATTTTTACGGAGAATAGTTCCCTCTTTCGTTCTTATTTTTCAATAGAATAGAGGAAAACGCTAATCATCGCATAGCATAATTTATAATTAATTTTATAATGCGTGCACACTTCAGATTTTGAATTATTATTATTTTTTTTATTACTATAAAATAGATTTAACTATAATATTATAAACGAAGTTGAGATTTCAACTTCATATTATCAATCGTTCAATAAATTGAACGATTATTTTCATAAATCTCCGTCTTTTTCCATCTTCTTTCTTCATGACTCGAAGGAAAAAGCGTTTCTTCGGGCTGAGAAGCACTGAGCTTTCTCTAAAACTCGATTTTATCAAAATGAAATCGGAGATAAATATTTTCCCTAGCACTGATTGCCAAAATTTTTTCCCGATCGTTGCCAAAAACACTGCGGGAACATATTGTTGTTAAGTATCCTTTTTGCAAAGAGAGTTAAGCCGGATCGCCTTTGCAGACGAAACCTGTAATGAACGGCGCCAGCATCGAGTCCGCTCGGTGCTAAACTTGGCAGCGGTGTCAGTGATTCACTATCTATGATCTAGATTATCGATACGATGAGAAAAAATACTCTCGTTATCGATATACACGCACATTCTCTCTCTCTCTCTCTCCCTCTCTCTCGAAAAGAACATTTCTCTCGTTCGTGGAGAAACGAGTACGCGTACGGAAAATTACCTTCGTAGTATACTCGGTTACTATAATTTATACAAGGGTGATGTGGAGAACGCGCGTAAACCAGTTTTTCGAATAGTTTTCTAGCAGACATCTCCAGGGGCGTGACTCGATCGGTCACTAAAATCGAGCGAGGGCGACTGTGAACGCATTATTCGAATTTCCTTGCACCTTGGATAATTTTGAAACTGGAGTTTCGAAAAAAAAAAAAAAAAAAAAAATAAAGAAACTAGCGTAGTAATAAGTTCTACGAGATAAGTAATTGAAGGAAATTTTTGAACAGCGCGAATCATCTCACGTCTTTCTCTCTTTCTCTCTCTGTCTCTCTCTTTCTGTTCGAACGTAGCGTGCGTGGGCACGCGTGAATTCCTCACGCGTGTATTTACACGTTCGAGTTTACAAGTGCCTTAAATCTCCGTAAACGTGTTGAATCGGATCTGAGTAAATGGAGAAAGAATAAGAAGGTGAATATATTACTGTTAATTTTTGAATTTCGTTTCGTTTAGAATATTTTAAAAGAAATCGAAACTTAGATTATAAACGCATCGATCGATATAAATATAAAATCGATAAAATCGATGTCTTGGGAATTTTACTTACTCTATTTCGTTTTTTGGAAACACGATCGACGAGGAAATCGGTTTCTCACAAAGTTCGAAGAGCCAGTTGATAATTGATATCATGATTATTAAGACATAATATAGGAAGTTCGTTCCAGGTTTTCATTTCAGGACACGCGTATAAACAACCGGTTTCGTTTAATCGAGGATTTGTAAAACGGGGCAATGATAAGATCGCGGATCGGGATCTCCTAATATGAATTTTAATTTCTGTCAAGGTTTAATTAACCCTCCCTCGGCTAACCCTATAATTTCCTCGACGTTGAATAATTGTCTACCTGTCGCAACTTCTGGTTCGCACTTCTTCTTCCGTTTTCAACCCTTCTTTCGCGATCTATAGCAGCGACGAAATTGCAGCAAGATAAATTAACGAGAATGAAGTGGACTTCGCCTCAATCTCTATCCTCCTCG